CCAAAAAAAAGAAAAAAGAAAGGTCACCTCGGTACGAATCATGTTGGTTGTTGGTAACAAGGGTGGGGTAAAAGAAGAAGAAGAAGAAGAAGAAGAAGAAGAAGAAGAAGAAGAAGAAGAAAAACAGCAGCGGCGATGCAAAAGATTTAAAATGTATAAAACTATCTGCCTCTTCCCATATGCTCTTCCCCCCCTTACCTTTCCATCCCTTTCCCTTTCCCTTCGGATGCTTGCCAGAAATGCAAATCGATGGCGTCCCGCCAAAACAGAGATGAAGAGATAAACACACGTTGCACCGGACGAAATGCTTCAAGCTAGTTCTCGAATAAAACCCCACCCCTCCATCTATCTCGAGATGATTTTGAAAATGCGATAAAACGATTGTCGGGAAAGAAGAAAAAAAAATCAAAATCAAGGTTGCCATCGCATTACGTATGTGTATGTTGTTTCCCTAATCAAAAAAAAACACCAGATGTGTGCCCTATGGTCTCGACAACAGCAACAACGGCAACAACAAAAAAAAGGAATTCCAAAATGACAGATTTATGTCGCTTGGAGAAGAAGAAATTTATATACAGTGGAAAGAGAAATGTCTACCAACTATATGCCGAAGCATTTGCTGGGAGACTGATGGTTGAATATCCAACGCCAGTATCTATTCCCGGATGCGTCCATCTCGTCTCTTTGTACAGCTCATGACTGCTGGTATTGGTAAGTAGGTACAGAACCACTTGGCGGGTAAAACGTTGCGTTGGTGGTATTGCTATCATAAGTAGAGCCCTCAACGCCCACTGTCCAGTTTGGCGTCGTGTCGTAAAGTGCTGCATCGCCCAACATGAGCGTGCCAAAAGCAGTAGAATTGTTGAATGTTTGCGCGCCTCCCGCTTCTATCGCTGCCCTAGCTGCATGCATATTGACTGGCCCTGGTAAGGACCAGCCAGCATATGTAGCCTCTATGGGAATAGGCGTTGCATGTGTGAAGTGATTCGGGCCAGGCTCAAACCCACTCCTGGCCGTTGGCATGTTGGTTGGTTGAACAGAGCCACTTGCGTACGGGTATGTAGCAGTTGGCTGCGGTGGGTGCCCTCGGTATTGTGGTGTAGAGTCTGGGTGGTAAATATGAGTGTTCGTTTGGGGACCATAGGTGGGAGTCTGCGTCGCTGGAGGCGTTCGGATTCCATGCTGATTCACAGGCGTAAATGCGTTTGTGACTGTTTCCTGTTGATTCGATGTGTTGTCAAATGTGCCTTCCTTCTCAGGTTTGATAGTAGCAGACGTGCGCGGCGACGTTTGTTCGGCAGAATCGTCATCGTGCGATAACCTGGTATCGGCCAAGTCAATGTCTCTGGTAGACCAGTTACTGTGGTCATCGACCGTCTTGCCGAATTGCTTGTGCATCCTCTCAAATAATTGCGCATAGTCTTTCAGTCCGCCCCCACCAACACCATCGCTATTGTTGCTCTTGGGGGAGTCACTGACTGAACCTCCACAGTCCCTGTACTTTTTCTTTTCGCGCCGGTAGTACCGTTGCCACTCAGCGAGTTCACAGAGCCATGAGCGAGCCATCTTGAAGCGTTTGAGGATACGGAACAGGAAACCGTTTGCAATGTCGTGAGCTCTGGGCTCGAGGCGTGATGAAAGCATGCTGTCCGGGTCCATGTTGGGAAAGTAGTGACAGTAAATGGCTATCATTGTTAGTAGAACTTTAGCAAAACTCAAGCAAGAACTTACTGCATATACCAACAGCGAAGCAAGCAAATGCCACCGTAGGCGTCTGCACCGAGTCACTGTGAACTCTGGTAGTCCCAATGGTATGTAGCAATTGGGTAAAGTCGCTGCAGGCCCGTGCGCAGTCCTTGGCTTGGTTGATCCAATACTCGGGGTCAGGAGGAGGCTCGTCAATGAGTGGTTCGTCTAGAGGACCGCGAGGGTGTGTCAGAGTCCATGGCGATGTGGGCATGTACTCTCGGTACAGCCAAACGAAGCATAGCGTGTACATGGCATGTATTGAAACATACTTTCCAGGGTTGTTGTAGATCCGGTCCTCGGTATTTTCTGCAGTCAATTGGAGATGGTCAGGCAAGTCACGCTTCAATTGCTTGAGCTTGTCTTCGAGTTTCTTAAACGTCGTGGTCGAATGCCATGGCGCATTTTTGCCCTCTTGCCTGTCATTTGTTAGCCCCTCCCCGCTAATGCATAGTCGGAAGATGCAATGGCATACCGCCGTCCACTATTGCACGACCACCGAACCACTTCGCCAAAAACAATGACGACTTTTATGTACCATGTGAGTTCGGCTTCGTGTTCACCAATCTCCCACTTTCCCCCATCTAGCTGAGAAGCTCGATCCCCATTCTGCTCATTGCGGTGCTGTCGAGCAAGTGCGTCCCACTCTGCTCTCCGCTTGGCATATGCGACGTCGTCCTCGCCTAGCAGTCTTGTCCGCGCTTTGCGACCATAATTGAATGCGCCGTCGCTGCAAACAAGCTGGGTTCTTTGAAAGTGCTCGGGCCCCAGCATTGGCGGTCGGTCTTCTCCCCAGCTGAGGTACGAATCCATGAGGCAACAGCTCCAAAAGGTGCGGCGCTGCGTCTCGCGGAGAATGAATTGATCCTTTTCGGATAACCGGCTCTCGCCTTCTCTTAAAGGAGCAGGCTGGCCCCTTTGATCGACATCGAGATGCGGGTATCCCAGGACAATTGCACACCTAATGGCAGTCCCGATTTTGATCCAGCCCTCTCGGCCTTGCAGTGCCGTCCATTCGTAGTAGCCCAGCATGAGGAGAGTCTGGATCTTCTCTAGGGTTGGGGTGCCAAAGATTTCGGCACCCATTTGCGTGCGCGTGGCCTGGGCATAGAATTCGGCAGTCTTGATGGGGTCATTTTCGGTCTGCTGGACAAGCTTGTCATGGAAGCGGGCTGTATGGGTGAGAAAGGCCAGGAGTAAAGGTGGGTATAGCTGGTGGAGCTGCGATTGTGCCTGTGTCTTGGCATCGGCCGAGTTGGCCAAAGGCTGCAGCTGCTGCACGGCACTCAAAAAGGTTCTCTTGTGCAAAAAGGGGAAATCAATAGAGAAGTGTTTTTCGTAAATGTCAAACTGGGCGGGGTGAGTAAAGATATATACGGGTGGGGGGGTTGGCAGCGCGCATTTACCAGCTCTTCCCAGACCTGGGCAGTGAGGAGAGGCGACTGAAGGGCATCTTCAAAGGTGCCGAGGCCTTCTATTGGACGCTGTACGCCAGCGGCCGTGGTCGCTAGAAGCTTGCGACGTTTCTTTGGCGGGGCCTTGTGGAAGTCAGCACTAGGAGCGTGTTGTACATGGACGGGCAGGTGGTAACGAGGCGAGCAGGTTGTCGAGACGGCAGCTGCCATGACTTACTTACATCAAAGTCTGCGGTGCTGTCGCGTCGGGGTGGCGCCGAAGTGGTTGCGACAGCAGTGTGGTCCCAGATGCAGTCGCGCTTGGTGTTTGCGCAGGCTTTGCAGGTGGTACCTTGACCAGCATTTTCACACTTGGTTTTACTTCGGCGACATCTGGCACATGCAATTTGTGAGCGCATGCCTCTTTTCGCGGAGGGTTCAGCACTACCGCTGGTGGCATCAAGGGGGCCTGGAGTTTGCTGTGGAGATGCCTTGACGGTGGATGGGGAGTGCTGTGTTAAGGGTGAGTGCTGCTGTTGGTGATGTTGATGGTGGTGAGGTTGTTGGTGTTGGTGAGGCTGGTGAGGCTGTTGGTGGTGCTGGTGCTGGTGCTGGTGCTGGGCGGGCGGTGATTGTGGCGAACGGAGTGGTTGTTGATGTTGAGCGTAAATGGGCAGTGCAGTTAGCCGCGGTGCATTCTCACCAGTCATGAGAGGAAGCAGTGCGCGACAGCAGGGCAAACTGGGGGGGGGGGGATGGTCGGAGAGAGCAGAGTGCGCCTTGGTGATGCGTCGTCGGAACAAGCTTTTTTTTGGTGAGGGTGGATGTAACAGTGGGTTTGAGGTCGAGTCCTGGGGAGGCTGGCTGGCTGGCTGGCTGGTGGGGTGGTGGACAGGTAGGGGCGGCGGTGCAGACGCGTTGGTAGTCGTCTGGTTGTCGTTTTGTCGCAACTGCTATCGCCGTCGCTGGGTGGTCGGGGGGCAATTGTGCACAGCGCGCGGGCGCGGGCGGGACAAGGCCAGATGCAGGGCTGCTGGGGGAGGGGGCGGATCGCAGAGGAAGCGAAGACAATCAGGGCCAGACGGCAGCAAAGGCGCAGCTGCGAAGGTGCGCGTTGGGGTTGGGTGCACTTGAGTCGTCTGCAATGGAGAAGCGTGCACAGCAGACAGGCAGACAGGCAGGCTGGGGGGCTGTCTGGCCTCGGGTCGTGGGGTTCCAGAGGGGTGCTTGGGAGTGCTGGGCTGGACACTGACTGTGCTGGGCGTGGTCGTGTTGCTGCGGGCCTGACGGGTATTCAATTCATCGAATCGCCCATGATTGCCCTATCGACGGGGCGCGGGCAACGGGGCAACTTGGCGTCGCCCGTCCTTTAAGCGATGCCTCCCGTCGGCCGTCGGCCCTTGGTTGTCTGCCGCGCTGCCGTAAGACGTTATGCTTGTCATGCTTGCTGATACGTCATGCCCCCCAGCCAGCACACGGCCTAGCTGCTAGCCATGGCGGATATGGACTTGGACGGCGGCCCGCCCAAGGGGTGGGAGCCATCTACCGATCGCAGCCATCGTCGTCGTCGTCGTCGCTGTCCGTGTCGCAGCCTGTGTCCGTGTCTGTATCCTTTGCATTGACTCGACACGTGGGCTGGCCTCCGACTTTCACATGACATGAGCCTCTCGGCCCTGTCTTCCCCATTGAGCGCCCTGCGCATGCTCCACACACCTGCTGGTACATACATCCATACATCACTTAGATGGTGACGGGGCTATACATGGTACATATACTATGTAGGTACATAAATACAGTATCATCTCAGACTACCATGGCGTCTGACAGCCAGCCAGACAGCCAGACCGACCGAGGGCCTGATGAGTTGTCGCCCGTCGCCCTTCCCGCGGAGTGATGCCATGGCAATCCATTGCTCCGTGTGGTGTGGACATGGCCATGCCCGTCGCCATTATCGCTGCCGGGCCTCGCATGACCCCATGTGGAATGGGCAAACTGGCCCTGCACACGAGGGAGTGGTGCCAAGCCATTCCACCCTACCCATCCAGAGCATAGCAAGGCCGCTATCAGCTCAAGCTCGCCGTGTATGCGCGGGGAACGTTTGGGCTGTGGGCCCCCTCTTCGCTGCCGCCCACTTCGACCTAGCGGGCCATGTCGTGCATACACATGCGTCCAGACTCTCAGCCTGGCCAGCCTTCCTGTGCCCATGCTGCCCATGCTGCCCATGAGTGAGATTCTGCGCTGCCCATGCTGCCACACATGCCTAATAAGCTGCATCTTGCTCAATCCGTCTGTCCACCTGCCCACCTTCTGCTCTGTGGGCGCGCAACCACTCCCATCTCCCCGCTTACCGCGACTGTCGGCAGACGTGACACCTGTGCATCTCCCCCCCCCCATCCCCCCATCTGAGGCTTCGCAACATAACCACACCTGCATATCCCTCTGATACGTTCGTCATATGCTGTGCCACACAAGAGTGGAGCGCACTGCGTGATTATTCTTCCAATCGCCATTCCCCATCCTACTCTAATTGCCTAGATGCCTCCACCCGCCCACGTGCTTCCGTTCCCTCCTCGCGCCTGCTTTCCCAAACCATCAACCTCGCCCCTCCTACCACTTTTCAACCGCCGGCCTAAGGTCAATTTCCCACGTAAAGTTGGTCTTGGGCTGCGTGTGCAACCACCAGTAATCATTCGCAATCTGCACATCACCCTCCATTAGCCTTGGATTGTCCCTTTCCGACATTGCTCGCAGGAAGAAGAAACCCCCCTTTTGAGCCAAAAAACAACAACAACAACAAAAAAACAAGAGGATACGCAGGAGATATACACACTTACCGCATCAGCACTCAACTTTGCCTCAGCAGGCATGTCCTTGAGCCATTCCTTGGTCCTCGGAATATCAATCACTCCATCAATAATAGCATGCGCAACATGCACTCCCTGCGGTCCAAATTCGCGCGCCAGGCTCTGACTGAGCGCCCTCAGCGCCCACTTGCCCGTCGAGAAAGATGCCATTTGCGCATTGCTCTTCACCGATGCTGTTGCCCCCGTGAAGATGAGCGACGGAGCGTACTCCGACTGCTGCTGCACCCCCTTGAGCAGCAGAGGCAGGAACGACTGGCTGAACAGAATCCCCCCCATTGCGCTAACCCCCAGGCTGGCCTGAAAAACATCCGCCCCAACCTCCAGGAACGGCTTCCGAAGAAACCCACCAGACGCGTTGAAAATGGCCGCTGCTGCCCCCACATCTGCTCCAAATTCTTCCTTGATCTTCGCCACCGCACTCTCCAGGCTGCCTGCGTCTGACACGTCAGTGCTGATGCCAATCGCCTTGCCCCCCTTGGAGTTTATTTCCTGTGCTAGGCTTTCGTAGTTCTCCGGTTTGCGCGCGAGCAGCACTACGGGATACTTGGCTGAGAACTTGCGGGCTACGGATGCCCCGGTCCCAGGCCCGACACCGGCAACAACTGCAATCAGCCTCGAGGTCATCATGTGTGATGTAATGTGATTCGCAAAAAAAACCCCAGACAATGTGTGATATCGGAACAAAGAAGAATGAACAGACAAGTTTTTCTGTATATATATATATTGATATCTGTTCACGATTCCACGACCAAGAGCTCACTTATTACCCTCTTATAACGGCAATCCAGAGGCCAATCCGAGGTATATGTTTACCAATCCACCAGTGGCATCATATCGCACTCGGATTGCATAAACGCCGATTCACTGAGGGGAAGGTACGTCATGATTAATAAGCACATCTCCGATATGCACATCCAATCTAATCTACTGTACACAAACACATGGAGACTTTGGCAAGCAAAACTTTGATGCTCATAACTTCGTGCTTGTAAATGCTATGCTTTTGCTCTACGCTAACCGTGTCCTCGTCACTAGCACTGCCGCCATGTTCCTAGGCCCGCCCGGCCCTGCCGACCTGTATCATCTCACCAGTAGGTTTCTCATCACTCCTCAACACTGGCCAGCTCGCCCCGTCAGCCTTGACGAGAGTCATCTCAAGCTTGGTCCCTAGGATCCGGAACTTGCTCTCTTCCGGCTTGATCGTCGAGAATAGGGGAAACTCAGTTTGGTAGCGCTTACTATCGCTAGTAGGTAGATCAAGTTTCACACTCGACGCTTGGAATTCAACCCTTGCAGTCGCCTTATCAATCTTCTTAAGGTAGAGAGATGCAACCACTGAAGTCGCCGTTTGGTAGTAGTCGTGTCTGTCACATGGTCAGAAGCCCGTTCTCGAGCACCATCAAAAAAAAGCCTACTCACCGGACTGTATCAAGCTTCTCCTCACCCTCATTCTTCTTGCCACTGCCAACAAACAGATGTCTGTCCTTTGTCTTACAGCCTTCAATGTTCATGAACTGGTCAAACTCCAACACTCTCCTCTTGCAACAACTCCATCCCTTGCTGCCTTCGTGGAAGATTGGCGCACCAGGATGATGTACACAGCCCTCCCCTTGTCTATCACCTCCTTTGTGCACCGCACCGCACCCTTTCCTCCTGCATGTCATTCCCTCCTTCACTGCTATGCTTGGGTCGTCATCTTCGGACTCTGGGGGTGGGGCAGGCGAGGCTGTGGGCTTGGGTGCAGCTTGTGCAGTAGGTACTCGAGGCGCAGGCGGGGGAAGAGACTCGTCGAGCGATCCTAGATTCACTGCTGTGCCATTGGGTATATCGGGAGTCTCGACAGGCTCGGGCGCAGGCGTGTCGTCTACATCGGAATGTTTGCCCTTTGTGCAAGGCTCGATTGCGAGGAATTCATCAAACGTCAAGACGCGAGGTTTGCAGCATTTCCAGCCTAGATTGCTGTGAATCAGTCCATCTGGTCCAATTCAAAAGCGTCATCTCATGCTGACCTACCTTTCTGCCCCTCGTGGAAGACTGGTGGGCCTGGGTGGTAGGCGCACTCTTCGTTTTCGTCCTCGTACGTCTTGCCGCACCCTTTGTGAACGCACTTTTTCGCCATGGTAGAGATCCTCGGAATTGCACAAAACCGAGCGTGTATTAGACTTCGAGTGCGCGCTCTTTACGTTGGTGTCGTGAGCCCCAGATGTTCACCTCGCGCGTCGGAATATTCTGGAACGTTGCACCCCATCATGTCATAGGCTGGGGTCCAAGCGCGGACCTTGCTTCTGTGTGGACGAGTCGTCCCCGTTTGGTGCTCAGCCAAGGCGCAACCAAACTCTGCACTTCTTCCATCTGGGGTCCGACGACTGTTGCTGGATGCTTCTCGGCCGCTTTGCTTCGCGCCGCAGCCGCCTACCATGTTGCGCGCTACATCTCGCTTACTCGCCTGCCGCATCACCTTCTTCACCCGAACCCCATGCAGCCTTTGTGACGATGCAAAAACTGTTGTTCACAATCTAAAGGCAAAGCGCCCGCTCGAGTACCACGAGATCAATGTCATGGAACAGGGCCAGGACAAGTGGAAAAACTTGTACGAATTTGATACCCCAGTGGTAAGCCAATTTGGACCATCTCTGTCTATATATATGTACGCTTTCCTGAAGAGTACCTGAATGTTCGACTAGATCCACATCGACAAGGCTGAATCTCAAGAAACTTCAGCGTCATCGCTTAAGCTCATGCATCGCTTCAAAGAAGAAGACGTGATGAAGCTGATGGATCAGGCTGAGCGAGCTTGAGGTTGCATACCCACAACTCAATCATTTCTGGACCCAGTCTGCTCCTTCTTCAGTCTCTCCCAATTTCATTAAAAGCTCATTTCTCATATCGAATTTTCCATGAACTTCTTCATACAACCATTACACTTATCACGAGACTCGCTTGGAGTGTAGCGGTGAGGCGTCTAGTGGAGAACAGACAACCTCACCACTTCTCATCATATATAATGTGGCATTCTATTGGCATAGTCGGCTGAACGGAGTTGAATACGAACAAAGAAAACATACTTGCATGTTTTGCATGCGCTATTTTCCTTTGGCGTTGTTCAATGAATGCGTCCGGCCGGCATCACGATAGCATTCGAATACTTCAAAGAGCAAGGAAAACCTGAACAGTTCCAGGTATTCGATCAAACGAGATTCATGGTGGAATGGATCGCTAGTAATTCAGAAACACGACTCGATGTGTATGGCAAAGAGCACAAGACATGGCCATGTCGGTAGCCGCCTCTCCCCCAAACTATCCGGTGTTAACCCCACTAGCGTGCATACATCTCATGTCTGCCAGGACGAATATCCCTCTTGGAGATGACTAACAAGGAAAAGCAAATCGATATCCATGTGGATATTCCTATGCTCAGTCCTGTGTCATCAAATCAGGGCGCTCGAATGTTCATTCTTTACAAATATTTTCCTTCCCCGCTGGACCTTTCGAACAAGAACGGTAAATGGGCTTGCAGCCACCAGCTAGATGAACGGTGTAATAGTTGGCTTCTTACACTAGCTGCATTCAGCTGCATTAATGAAGCGACCATCTTCTGTATCATTGGAACAGTTACGAACATTTGATATTATCTGAGAAGTGCTTAATGTCGGCATGGCACTTATTTCTGATAGAATATCCCTTCAACTGCAGATTATACCCGCGTCTTAGTGTCTTCCTTACACGGAAAGTCACTGGGTAAGGTCAAAAACATGATATTATATAGCGCAAGTAATTGCCTAGATGTGCATGCAACTAATGTTACACAGGAAAAGCAAACATGAAAGGCTCGGGCCGACCCCGCATGATCATGCTGCACCCCTCCCCACACCTGCTGCTCTACGAGCATCTACTCTCTGACCATCTACTCTCAAGTTAAATTCAATCAGCTACTCATTGTGCTATATCCATGTGCCTTGGAGAATCCACATCAATCTCTCCAAACGAGGCCAAACTCGAGTCTGCACAACGAGAGCTGCCTTGGGATGAGATATACAGTAACCGTGCGCGTGACGAGCCACTTCGCGTGACGAGCCACCCCACCATCCCAACATTGCGCGTCGTCCCATCTTCAACGCGGCATAACTCAACCACCATGGATCCAATTCAAGAAGCGATTGAATATATTGAATCGCGTGAGGCTGGAGATAAATTCTCGTACCGCCAAGTTGCAAAAATATTCAGAGTTAATCGAACAACGCTATCGCGGCGGCACAAGGGTTTGCAGGTCTCCCATAAAGCTAAATGCGCAA